TTTGTTTTAATATAAACACTTGTCTAGCAAACCTTCCTCTTTTGTAGAATAAAGCCTTGAATTTTTATTTAGGATTACTTAAGAGTATTGTAGATCCAAGGTGATTGCATGCATACATTAGAAAAGGGAATACTTGTGTCTATTAATAATAGTATAGTAATAAACAGAATCAATCTAACCCAAAGTCTCTGCGGCTAAATTATTTCATTTAGACCGATTATTTTTTTTAAATGTAAAGATAATTTCTTAATATGAGTTTAAATATTGTCAGGCTTAATTATCGCCTAGTATATTTTAACGTTAGCAAAGAATTGAAGACCCTGCTAACAAGTTTATAATGTGAACATTAAAGCAAATAAAAGTATATATAGGCAAGTCATCCAGGTAAGCATTAATACATACCTCCAATAAACACATATATTGTGCCTTGTTTAAGGTGTTTCTATGCAGCATCTCAGAAAATACTTTTGTTTATGTTACCTGTAGTGTATTTACCTGGGGTACCACTGGCTTGGAAAACTTTTGAAATGTGTAAAGTAAAATTTGCATGCGATCTCGAGAAGTCTGTGATTATTAACAATTTTGAAATGAGATCTTGGATAAACGTTTCACCAGATGATGATTGGAACATATTTTGGGCCTCTGTTCAAAGTTGTAGAGCAGTATTCAGTAATGACACTGGTTACAGGTTATCTGATGACCAGGTAAACATAGTTTAATTGAAAATTAAGATTATCAATCATTTCCCAAACCACTATGAACTTACTAGAAAAGATTTACTTGTCAGAAATATTAAGCGTTATAGAAGGGAACTTGAGAAGGAAGGAAACCCAATTGCAGCTCGAAATGAATCGGGACAATATCTTTATCTTGATTTCATTCCAGTTACCTTTATGCTGCCACATGATTACAATTTATTTGCCGAAGAATACAAAAGAATGCCTTCTTCTACATGGATAATGAAGCCCAGTGGCAAGGCAAGGGGTATTGGTATCTTTTTGATAAACAGGCTTTCTCAGCTCAAGAAATGGTCAAGAGAGGGAAAGCACGGTTATATTGGAAACATTTCAACGTGCATAAAGGATTCTTACGTAATATCTAGATATATTGACAACCCTCTGCTAATCGGAGGCAAGAAATTCGATCTAAGACTTTATGTGCTTGTATCATCCTTTCGACCACTTAAATGCTACATATACAGGCTCGGATTCTGCAGATTTTGTACAGTTAAGTACAACTCAAATGTCACTGAATTAGATAATATGTTTGTTCACTTGACCAATGTTTCAATCCAAAAGCACGGGGCTCAATACAACAGTATACATGGGGGTAAGTGGACTACAGAAAATTTCCGTTTGTGGTTGGAGGGGACAAGAAGCAAAGAAGTCGCTGACAAGCTTTTTGATGAAATTTATTGGATTATTCTGCATTCCTTAAAAGCTGTTTCAAAAGTTATAATAAATGACAGACACTGCTTTGAATGCTATGGTTATGATATCATAATAGACGCAAACCTCAAGCCATGGCTCGTAGAAGTAAATGCATCACCTTCCCTCTCGGCTACAACTGCAAGTGACAGGATAATGAAATATAAACTTATAAATGATGTTATTAGTATTGTATTACCAAACGACACAGTCCCAGATGTTAAAGTTATTAGAGAAGTGACCAAAGATCAGTTGGGCCATTTTGAACTTCTTTGTGACGAGAAACT